ATTATATGGCATTAAATTCTGGAGGAGAGGAGGGTTAAGATTTCTTCACTCCTGATTTATTTTCATTTTGCATGCTCTTGGTATGTGGGAAGAGAGTGCTATGGAGTAAACATGAGAACAACCCATCTACTTGGAACTGCAGAAAGTTAGCAGTAGGTGTACCAGCAGAACAGATGACAGAAAAGTGAATTTAAAAAAGTTTAGTAAGAGCTGCAATTAAATACCAGATTTTTTTTCCTTTTTAAAAATACAACAGCACTGTTCCAATTGTAAACTTCAGTTTCAGAAAGCTGCTTAAGAATTGGTGAAAATAAGGAAACTTCACTACTTAGCTTTTTAATTTCTCCTCACACTGCATGGATTTTTGCTTCTCAGTGTTCTTTTCTTTCATGAGGATATTCTGGCTTGCCAAGATGGTTTCCCCTAGGCTGGCCCTGAACAAATGAAGACTGGAATATGTTATGGGCCATTCTCCTGCTGTTGCTATTTGTGAGATGTCCGAGACATCAGGGTTGAGCACTGAGTAGTCTGCCATTGTTTCTACAGCAACATCACTGCCTGCAAAAATCCCACTAGGTCACCCTCGCATTCTGTCTCCTTTACAAAGAAGCCAAGTGATGTTCGCAGCTGCCACAGCAGTGAGATATCATCACAGCTAAATCTTGTAACAGCTACTATGTACTAACATCAAATAGCCCTTGAACAAAAGGGAGGTCTTGCAAGGCTTCGCATTTTGCAAGTGTTAGTACTTTTCTGTGCTTTCAAGAGTTTCGCAAACTTTTAAAATATTCTTTGTTACTGCAGTGTAGTTCAGCATTTGAAGGGTTTGGCGTTACTTGAAATGCAGTCTTCACAGGGGCATCAGCTAGAACAGTTACTATGGGAACAGGCAAGGAAAGGAGTTAGACTTGCCTTTGTAACCCATAGAGCCCTACTTTCTGAAGAAAGCGACTCATGCTGCAAATTTGAAAAGGCTTGATTTCCTCCTTTTTTTTAAAAAAAAAGCAAAGGGAAAAATAATAGAAAATTTCAAGATGAAAATACGCAGGGCCTTTTCTGGAGTGGAGTTAGTCAAGTGTCCTTTTTCATGCTGCTAGCTAATTTTACAGTCTTCAGAAACAGGCAATTATTGCGTCATAAACTCACCTGGTAATGCTTCCTATCTGCATAGAAAATGAGAATATAAATATAATTTAGTAGTTTGCACATAGAATCACAGAATGACAGAATCACAGAATAGTAGGGGTTGGAAGGGACCTCTGTGGGT